TTTCCAAGCTGTTTCTGGTCAGCGTGACCTGGGACATAAGCCGTGCCATGGTCAATGCGACAGGCGCAGGTACGCTTGTGATCATAGTGTTTTCAACTGCTCAAACAGCTCTTGCTGCTGAGCTCTGCCCACCTCCCCCTGCCACCATGCTTGTTCCAAGAACTGCAAAGCAAGTGCTGGCTCCTATGCTGAAAGGCTGTCCTGAAGCTATGCAGCCAGCCTCGGCCTTCCCTCTTGTCTTTCCTCGAGCCTAAAATCCCTTTGCTTTGGTGTGGGAGCTGCTTGTTGGCCCTGTCCAGAACTTCAACTACGAGTTCATCATGGAATCACTTCCTCTTGCAACGGTCCATGAAGGTACATTTGCCCAGGCTTCTGCCCCAGCATTGGTGAGCTGTGGAGGTTTTGTAGCCTCTACAGGTTGAGGGGCTGGACTAGGACAAGATAGAAAATTATTGTCTCAAAAAGCTCAGTGCAGGAGAACAAAAAAAAAAATCCCTAAGGAATTTCTGACATAAAATGTTACTTTTCCAAACTGAGCTTCAGTATGTGGTGAGCAGGATGCTACAGACCACAGAAGCTCCCTAGACACAGCCTGGGTAATTGCAGCAAAAGAAATGCAGAGACAAAGGTAAGTACAAATTCAGACCTCTTTATGGTTTCCTAAAAATTCCAGAACTACGTGGATCTAGGCTACAGGGATATCAATGGCCATGCTAAAAAAGTTTTTTTCCTCCCTACCATTTCAGGCCTTTCATATTCTGGAGGACATATTTTGGTGGTGCCCAACTGGCAAGAGGAGATGCTATTCCAAACTACCAGTGGGACACTTAAAGCATATGCAACATAAGCATTCAAATGGATAGTGACCAAATAACACATCTATCAGTGGAGTAGGCTGGTCCTCAAACTGAGAGGAACACAGAACTTGCCATTCCTGTTCAGACCATTCCTCTGCGAAGTCCAGAATCCTGCTACTAGTTGTAGCCAAAACCTCATGTTTCATAAGAAGAGGAAAACTCCCTTTCCCTGGCCTAAAAGACAATTCTGTACCTGGGGAGGAAATGCCCTCTTGGAACTCTGCAATGCTCAGTTTATAACAAGCAGGCACTTCAGTTTAGAGTGATGCATAAAGACTATGCAGAACCCTGTAGAAGAAAAATAGAAGTGGCTTTGTGTATTATTTATGCATTTGATGGCATTCTACACTTGCAATATAGTGGTGTATAACAATCAGATGACTGACTGACTGCTTCACCCCTGTATATATTGCAATGATTCTTAGTGACCAATTTTACTGGGTCCTATTGTGGCAGGCATTGTACACACATACAGTTATAATCTAAAAGGCAAGGCACCACAGGCAGATAAAACAAATAAGCATGTTGGGTGGGATGTGAGGGGGGAAAAAAGAGGGTAACATAAATATTAGGTGCGTCAGAGGGGTAGCCGAGTTAGTCTGTAACTGGAAAAACTTAAAAAATAACTAATAGTCTTGCAACACCCTAAGGTACGTCTAGACTTCAGGGTTTTGTCGACAGAAGTTTTGTCGACAGATACTGTCGACAAAGCTTCTGTCGACAAAGAGCGTCTAGACTACATTCAGTTCTGTCGACAAAGCAAGCTGCTTTGTCGACAAAACCCTGTAGTCTAGACACAACCCTATATGCAATAACACCTTCTGTCGACAGAACTCTGTCGACAAAAGGCGTTATGCCTCGTAGAATGAGGTTTACCAGCATTGACAAAACTGCTGAGTTCTGTCAACGTTATGTCGACAGAACTCAGCGGTAGTGTAGATGCAGGCATAGTTTTGTCGACAAAAGTCCACTTTTGTCGACAAAACTCTGTAGTCTAGACACACCCTTAGAGACTAAAAAAACATGTAGACGGTATCATGAGTTTTTGTGGGCACAGCCCACTTCTTCAGATGAATGGAGTTATTAAAGGTCCAGTTTCTAAATAAATAGGGTCTCTAAGGTGTTAGTCTCCAAGCAGCGGCAAAACTATTTGCTGTTTTTATAAATATTAAGATAAGCACAATTCTTAACCAATCAAACTGTAATCACAACATGCCACCTGTCTCGCCATAATTATATTGCGTCTTCCAAATACATTCTAGAAAACGTAAGTTTTGAGGAGGCACTTGAATCAGGAGGTGGTGCTGGACTTATCGTGAGCTCCTACCCTTAAACAGGTATCATGAGCACTTTGCCCAAAACTGTTATATTCTGGCTCTGGGATACCAGAAGAAATAAGTTTCCTCCTATGAGGACTTTAAGAATACTTTAAATTCATTATGTACCTTTGACAATGAGACTTTACCATCATAGAAAATGTCCAACGATACAGGACTCTACTTACCTTTCTATAATGTTCTTAGTCAATATTAACTGATCAATCCATATTTATGTTGAAATACAAGCTTCCTCATCTCTCCTACTCTTTGAATCATCCTCCTGTGGTGAATGGAACATAGTTGCTACTGAGGGGTAGCCATGTTAATCTGTATCTTTAAAAACCACAAGTAGTCCTGTGTCACTTTAAAAATTAACAAAGGTATAGGATCCTGAGCGTTCGTGGGTAAAACTCACTGCATCAGATGAGCTGGAGACTCTCTAACTCATCTGATGAAGTGGGTTTTACCCACAAAAGCTCATGATCTTTAACCTTTGTTAGCCTCTAAGGTGACATGGGACAACTTATTGTTCATAAATGCTATTATATTTGTTACTAGAAGATTTACCCGGCATTGCTCAGGTCCCTAACTCCATTTTTGTTTTTTGGAAAATAAAATGAAAATGCACATGCTTCATTTAAGTCAATGTTCTGAGGCAGGGCTGAGGGTCAGAGGTTCAATATGCAGGCTGCCCCCAGGACAGGGGACAACTCCAGCCCTCTCTCATCACAGCAGCTTGGGGCCAGGTGAAAAGCACCTGTCCAAAGCCACTGCAATTCCAGCAGGCACAGGTGGGAGAGGAATGCACAACCTCCATTTGGGGCAGGACCAGGCTCATCTGCCTTCTGTACTCCTCAGCCAGAGTGAAGAATCCAGTAAACTGTGCACTTTCCCCTCGCTCTGTGACAAAGAGGAACAGCCAGCAATGTCCCCATTTGAAATGGGGCGAGGGGTTCCTTGGGTGGTAGGAGGCATGCCCCCATCCAGCTCCTTTTACCTGCATGGTGATTCTCTTTTTTCGGTATAATTTTATGAAAAGCAATCCCATTCCAGACACATCCCATTTTCCTGGCACAACCAAACCCAACCTTGCTTTAAGTTATGGTAAGAGGAAGCTGTATACCAAATTTGGTGGTATTAAATCTTACTGTTTAGGAGGAGTTCTTGAACAGACAGGCAGAGACAGACAAACTCTGTCAAATATATAGTAGATGTCGTGATAATTGACACTAATAGCCAACCTTATTTAGAGATGTGAACCACAGATCAGTGGTTCAATTCAAGATCAGACAAAAGGAAGAACTCTACTGGAGTATTATTATTCATAAATTCCCAGCAGATCTTTTAGAAAAATGCCCAATCTTGATTAAAAATTTTCCAGTGATGGAGAATCCACCCCAACCTTCGGTAAGTTAATTCAATGGTTAATTACCTTTGTTATTAAATATTTTCACCTTTTTTTCAAGTCTGAATTTCTCTAGTGTCAACTTCTGGCCACTGTAACCAATTGTACCTTTGCCTGCTAGATTGAAGGATTCTCAATTATCATGTTTCTGTTCCCCCTACAGGAATTTTTAGACTGAGGTACAGCCATCCGTTCACTTTCCTTTTGAGATGCTAAATAGATTGAATTCCCTGAGTTATGGAATGTTTGTAACAGTAATACTATTTATTTACAACAATGTTTAGGATGTTATATTTATATAAATAATAGTACAAAAAAAAACTCAGTAGGATTGGGGCTCCATTAGGCTAGGCACTGCCATCTGCTCCTTAACTCAAAATAGGATTGCCAGTATTGGTTGGATGTATTCCTGGAGAGGTCATTCCATGACCATCTTTAATTTCTGGAGACTGGAGAACAATCCTGGGGGGGTTAACATCCCTATCCTAAAAGCTTACCACCAAAAAGGGAGAGCGCTTTAATTCATAAAGATATCCAATAGCAGTAGACAGAGTATGGTACATTATAAATTCCTTCTTGGTGAAAACACTCAATGCATATGTGCCCAATCTGCAAAGTCTCTGGTGAAGTTCCCATGGTCTATATTTAACATTGGAATTTGTGTTATGGATGAAATTCACAAGGCACTAGTTAAGATCCATTTAGATCCTCAGGGCAAAGTTCATCTCAATGCAGTCAGTTCACACAAGCGCCTCTGGATATACTGACCATATTTTCAAACTAATTTCACAGAGATCAGTTGTGGGCCAGAGGCTGACACACCCCTCCTTTATGTGTGTCTGCAGAATGTGCAGCTCCTGATCACAGTTCTGGCAAGACCAGTATGGCCACAGAGATACCCAGCAGTACCTTGCAACTAGTCAACATCCCCCAGCTCTTTACCCATCTGTTGCAGAAAGCAAATGAGGCAGCCTGAATGGCCAGCACCTGCAAGGACCTGCTTGCTCTTGCCAGGGCAGGACTAGCTGCATAGACACCAACACAACCAAAGAGAACACAAAGTGCACTGAACCCTCCATCTCTCTCCTGGTCCAAAGTAGGGCATCTGAGAAAAGGACTGTAATGGTTGGGGCCAAGCAGGAGAAGGAGCATTGCTATTGTGGGAGACAACATTAAAAAATTAAGAGTTGGAAGCTCTTTTGCTTATAAAATGGGTCTCTCTCTGACAAACCAGGAGACTTGGTCTCCTTAAGGACCATTTACGCCACTAATACAGGATTTGGGTTCCACTTAAGTAGAGTACTCAGACTTCTGTGGACTCTCTCTATACTGAGGTGAATGTCACCACTGATAATTCTCTATGTTCAGTGATGGTTAAAATATTTAACTTCCTTCTCCTCCTCTCCCCTCCCCTTCTAGCTCCAAGGACATAAAAAATGCGCTCCAGAAGTAACAGCACAGAAAGCCCAACCAAATCAAAACAGTGCCAGCCAAGATTAAGAGGACCCCATACAGAAGATACAGTTTATGATGGGAGAGTAAACGTGAAAAGGGAAGAAAAGGAGAAAGATACCAGCACCATCCTAAGAAGCCCCGAATCTGAGAAAAAACAAAGAAGATATTCCAAAAAAGGAGATGACCTCTCTCGAGATGATCTATTATTTCTTCTTAGTGTGCTTGAGGGTGAATTACAGGTGCAGTCTTTTTTTGTTTTATTTTCATTGCATAATTTACTCTAAACTGAGTATGTGAAAATGTGGTTACTTTCCTAATCAGTAATCAATAGAATTTGTATGGACTACTCAATTACTCAATAAGGGTAGGCAGTTACAGTGTTTAGTCTGGCTCACACCAGGTGCCAGTACAACCTGCCCTGCTGCCATTCTGCACTGTAAGGGATGGGAGAGCCAACATGTGGGAAGAGGGCAGCTGGGGAGATTATGCTGACTGACGAGAGAGCTGGGGGACCAGGGACTGAGTCAGCATCTTTGCACACCGAATACCCTGTCCTTTAATATTGCAGAGCCACAGGGGGCTAATTGATAAGCTCCTGCTTATCCATTAGTTGACTAGTTGCTTACATCCCTACTGTAAATATATACTTGTTTTTCTATTTTAGATAGTATACCTATTATAACTGGTACAGGTGTACAAATGTGCAATGTGAGAATACACAAAAATATTCATCCAAATATCACAGAAAGGAACTCCCAACCCAAAACAAACACTAGAGATTTTCCCTACTCGTCCCAGTATATAGCACACATATTTGAAATGTCAGTGCCATGGTGGCCGAATGGTCCTATTACTCTCAAAGTGTGCAGTGACATGTGAATTCATTCCTATTACGAACTCATAAAACCACACAGTCCCCATCATGTATTCTGAATATGATATATTGGTTATATAAATATATTTCATGAATGTTTTAAAAAAAAATTTTAAATGTTTATGGGGCATTTCTTGTATCCCTCCTGCAAGGCCAGATGCATTAATTACTTGGAGTCTAACTATACAGGGTTCAGGAGGAGCAATAAAATCTCTTAAAATGTACTACAACAGACTTAAAATATCTCAAAAGGTCCATTATATCATGCCCTATAGAGATAGGAATGAGTGTTGGCTTCCACCAAGGCCATGAGATACTGGATTTCAAAATTGTGACATTTTCTATATGTAAAAGCTCTCAACGGCTGGGGCTAAAGGCTGCCCACCTAGGGCAAATATAATTTAGGAGTGAGAATGGAAGTCTGTATTTGCAGAAAAAAAGGAAGGGAGGTTTCTGAGGCAGGGTGATTTAATGAAAGTAAAGACAGCTGTTTGAAACTGCTCATGAGTTTGGAATGTGTGAGAGCAGAGGTCAGGTGAACTGGTCAAGGGTGCACGATAAATGGATTTATCACATGGTTTCACAGTTTTAACTTCTGGGAATTACCCATGTTAGTAATTTTATTATTAATATATGTATATGTAGACACATGTTAATACTATATATAATCTGCATATATGTTCCACTGGTCATTCAGACATATAAGCGACCAGCTGAGTGTAGCTACACGTGTACACCCCTCCCAAATCTATTGTAAATTCTAGTAAATTATGTTATTTTGGCCTTCTCCATAGGGAAAGTCCTAGCAACTCTTCCCCTCTCTCAAACCCACCAATTCTGCGCCCAAAATATAGGGTAAGTTATTTCATATGAAATCAGGAAGTGATGTGTACAATATATTAAGAAAAACATTGCAGTATGAAACTTTTCCAAAGTTATCACCCATTTACCTGACTTCCCTCTAACTCTAAATCAAAAACCAGATTTCCCAAACATTCTCTCTGAAAACGCAATTCTAAGAAAATACATCTCTGTCTAGTTAAAAAAAAGTTTAATCTTCTTTGTAGGTTGTTCCTATAGGTCAGAGAGAAAATACCTTTGCAGAAGAAAGTGGGAACAGAATTTTTTGAATTCTTTATTTGCCAGAGAACAGTACTGTCAACTCCACGCCTTTTAAAATTATGACTCTATCCCCAAAAATGATGAGATTATCTTAAAAGTTAGATTGCTAAACATTATAAATCTTGTCTTATTTGGCTTCTGTTTTCCAAGACATTACTTGAGCCCTTTAATCTTTTCTCCATCTCCAGAAAAGCTAGAAATTTTTTGAAGCTGTTACTTCATGAGAATCACATGACTACAGGAGCTGGAGCTTTAAGAAAAGTACGACACTCGTAATAAAGTTGTGAGACTTAGAAATACTGAGTGCACAACCTGAAGAGGTCATTACAAATTTTTTGTAGGAATTCTAGTATACAATTATTTTAACTGACTTGACTTCATGCATTTCTTTTTGACATTTTTAGATTTAATATTAACAAGCATTCCTTCCCTGCTCACTTCTTGTCATCTATCACCATGAAGAAGAAACAACTTATTCTTAAAAAGGGCATGACATTTTGGGTGGGAAACCTGAAACATCATCAAGAGGACTAGTTTTCAGAAGCAGAGCTCAAGACCTTCTCTACTCAAGATACTTTATAGTGCCTTGAAGGGGCACACAGGATTGAGAACTCTAATATTACTAGTTACTGTACTTTTGAAAATCTTGGCCTTATGTATTTCATACGCACATGCTCCCTTAGACATAGTCACTTCTGCCTGCTTTAAGGGCAATTAATCTTGTTTTAAAGAGCTGACATTATTGCATGCTTTTGGAATGCATGTTGTGAAAGATCACATCCTCTGCACCATGTACCTCACTGGCTTCAGTGTACAAACATGTATATGTAACAATAAAAGCTGACTACCTCCAAGTCAGTTTAAACAATAAAATGCTGCCTTTATATCCTGTGTGTACAGAGAATACAAACTTCTTTGCTTCCCAAAGTACATGAAAAAACTAAATGAAAATCTAAAAACAAATGCCAATACCTGAATGACATTTTGTTCTAAATTCTTGTACAATGTAAAGTGTGTGCTGGTACAAAAAAAATGAGTTATATAATCTATCTTTAACAAAATACTCATTTATACATTTTAAAAAATTAAAAATTGAATTTTGAAAATACAAAGACCGATATTTCTCTTATAATTTTAAAGTGTTCAGTTTACTAATTATCTCAAGGGTACTTAACATATAATTTGAAGAACTGAAAAAAATATTGCCAAATGTTAATGTAGAAGCTACTCTCTGAAGATGCCAATACATAAAACTAGTTCACTGGAATTCTTTGTGTTTCTGCAGGCTCAGGATGAAGTCATCGGAGTTCTTAAGGCTGAAAAAATTGACCTGGCTTTGCTTGAAGCACAATATGGCTTTGTTACTCCCAAAAAGGTATTAGAGGCACTCCAGCGAGATGCTATTCAAACCAAGGCTGCACAATGGCAAGAGGATATCTATGAAAAGCCTATGGGAGAGGTATGCATAGTAATATACAATATTCACACACAGGGACTAATTATGTTATCAAAGTCAATAACAAAAGTCCCATTGACTTCAGTGGGAGAAGGATATTGCCCTGAGACAGCACAGACTACCAGGTAGCAGAGCAAAGTACAGAATACAGTTTGTTATAAATTATAAGACAACATGATCCAGTTGATTTAGCATGGAGCAAAGACCCAAGCCAATCTTGGCTCCCACAGAAATCGGGAACATGACCCTGGAGAAGTAATTTGCCTTCAGAGAAGAATTCAGCAGGTGAAAACTCCACTGTAGTCAATAAATTTAACCTACAAGATTTGCTTTCCTCATTCACCAGGAACAGGAGGGAAGTTGTAGTAAAAAGTGTTAATTTCTACTCAAACCTTTAAAAGTTAGCTGAACATCTATGTTGTTTAATAGATCAGTTTGCTTTCTGGAGGATCAAATACACACCTGGTACAAGCGGATGTATCTCCATTAGTTTCATGTGAATTTCTCTGCTTGTGCCAGGTGTGAATTTGGTTGCAAAGGCACAACCTTGAGTCTCTTCATGCTCTATGCTCCCAAGTTATGGTGCACAATAACTGACTTTTTATCATTTATTAATATAGGATAGTAGGATCTGATTTTTTTCTATTTATTCAAATTACTGAAGTTTACAATCATCAAAGCAGAAATGTAACACTAATAATTAAGCAAAAGAAGTCCTCCTTTCTAAGCTGTTTCTCTGAATTTAAATTGTGATCCCCAGTGTCTATCACTTACACAAAAAAACTCTGTTAATTCAAATACATTCTTGAATGTCCTCCTTCCATTCAGATAAACACGATTGTAGTGTTCATTATAGATTACTGTTATTTTAAAAAGTAATTAACATGACTTCTTCCATCCAAGTGTTTTCCAGGTTCTGTAATAGAAAAATACCTAAGTATACAGAGTTCATTTCACAAAAAATAATGTCAGGCAAAAGGTCAGCAGTCATTCCAGGAGCTCCAAATTTAAAATCACTAGCTATAATCTAAAAACAGATAAAGTTAAATTGCAGAGGTTAATTTATTTTAGAACACTGTGGCATTATATCATAGATACTTTGAATATGAATGGAAATGATTTGAAGAACAGTCAAAAGAAGTTTATAAATGTTAAGTGCACTATGCTGTTTTGCGTAAGTTTAGGCACAGGGGTTATTGTTTTGTCCTCTAACACTTAATAGCACCAAAAGGATTTTTTTAACATCGCTGGACTTAAGCAGTTAAAAAGACAGAGCTACACATTGTGAACATGGCACAAAAGAAATAGATCCTTGGTACTCCGTACATTTCAGTAATCCAAATGACTGACAAACTTCATAGCATATTTTTAAATGTTTTAATTTATTTTATGTTTTAGGGATAAATTTAGTTTTTTGTTTGCTTTTTGAAAATATGTACAAAAAGTGAGGGAAAACCATACTGTGGGAAAAAGGACTCTGTGAACTTCCCTATGTAGCTCTGGTATATATCTCTGTTCTGGCTTGTTGTGAGCATTTTCTACTAGGGTTACCAGATGGCTTAAAAAAAAATACCGGACACACTTGATCTCAGATCGCAGCCAGGGGGAGGGAGGGAGAGAGGGAGAAGAGAGTGGGGGAGGGAGGGTTGGTGTGATGCGACCAGCTGGGAGAGGAACGGGGCTGGCCGGGAGAAGCGGCGCTGGTTAAGGGAAGAGAACCAGCTGGCGGGAAGCAAGGCTGGCCAGGAGGGGGGAGGGGGAAGCGGGGAACCAGCTGGCGAGAAGCAGGGCTGGTTGGGAGGAGGGAACGGGGTTGGCCAGGAGGAGGTCGGGGGGAGAGAATTGGCCGGCGGAGAATTGGCCAGGGGGAGAAAATTTGCCGGTGGGGAGAGGGGCTGGCCCGGGCGCATGCAGATCCCGGGGTACTGCCCGTCCCGCGCACAGTCCCAGCAGAGCGCACAAGCAAGTTCAGCCCCGGGGATTCCATCCCCTCCCTCCTTTCTACTGCATAGTTGCATAGGCTGGTAGACATGCTCACGCAGTGTGACTCACGCAGCATGAGCATGTCTACCAGCCAGGCAGTATGCAACTACGCACTGAAACTCATAATAAGAAAACTTAATTAGAAAATACCGGACATTTATATGTCCGGTATTTTCTCAATTTCTTTCCCGGACAGAAAGCTAAAATACCGGACTGTCTGGTTGAAAACCGGACACCTGGCAACCCTATTTTCTCCCCATCTTGACAACTATGAGATGGTTTTGTGAAATATGTAGAACAATACCTTCAAGGGGTGAAATGTAGAAGGCCCATATTCAGTTTAAACTGTGGACTTGATTCAAATGTTAAGTCTGATTAAGAGCACTGCTAAGGGCAAGAAAAATACACTGTTTTATCTGTCCTTGAACAGATTCCAAGTGGCGTCGTAGCAGCAGGGAACTTGGTCTTTTAATCAGGAAAAGTTTGACGATCCCTATGTGATCTGATTGATCTCCAGGGGAACGGACAGCCACGCCAGCCCCTAAGCGAAGTGGGGGTTGGGACCTGGCTCTATGCTCCCAGAAGAGGCGGGGCCTCTGGTGGAAGAGATGGGGCCGTGGCAGCAGCTGCGCCATGCCAGTCCCTGCCCAGCCCCGACTAGAGCATGGTGCACCCTCCCCCCTCCACAGTCCTTAGAGCCAACTGGAGCACACCGGGCAGTGCTTTGGCAGCAATTTAAAGGGCCCAGAATTCTGGACCCTTTAGAATTGCTAAGCCCTGAAGCAGTTGCTCCCTTTGCACACCCTCCTCCTGACCCCCCATTGGTGGGCCTATTGATCTCAAAGGCTCTTAGGGCTTGTCTAGACTACTGCTCAAGTCAATGTAATTTATGTTGCTCAAGGTGTGAAAAAGCCACCCCTTTGACTTAAAGCGATATCTATGCCACACTATGTCAGTGGAAACACTCCAACCAACATAGCTTCCACCTCTCTTTGAGATGGAGTAATTTTGCTGATGTCAGAGCACTTCCTTTCGCCATAGAGCGTTTTCAGCAGTCACACTACAACGGCACAACTGCTCAGATGTCATGTGATAATGTAACTTATCCCTTTGTTGGACTCTACTTTATTTCGTGGGTCACTCCACCTAATCATACCATAATGTTACAATTGTTTTAGGAGACTTAAAATTTTGCTGGGGGCTTTGGTGCTTGGAGAGCTGCTTTCTTAGGAACAAGACTGAGAACACCACTTGATTTCATGTAATCCAAGAAATCCACCAAAGCAGAGA